TTCCCTCCAAGCAGCAATGCTTGTAAATACATATATAAAATGTTTCTGATAGCTTTGAGATCTGAATTGTGGAACTCTAAGGCTTTTCTTCCACAGAACTTAGGTCTCCTCTGTTGAGGAGCCATGTTTGGTAGGTTTATGGGAGCACACAGCCAAGAGCTATATGCGAAACAATAGATGTGTTGCAATTTATAATGGTGGGAGTACCAATACTGATGAGATCACAAAACTACTTTTATAGTTTTGGGGTGTCTTTATTGTTTTAATGGCTAGGAATTTGCTACATTTTGTCATTATTCTATGTAGTATTTCTCTATGTTTCTGTTGGTAAAATTTAGAAACACTGATGTTTGTGATAGTATACTATCATGCTAAAGCCATTTACTATCAAAGTTAATATTCGACTGGGTCTCTTGGCTCTTCTAAATAAGTGCACTATGGCATTTAAAAAAGATAGGTGAGTTTTTTTCTAGTGCCTATTTCATTCAATTTCTTTTGTTATGTCACTGCTATAGCTAGATTTTCTAAAATCATATAACATTTTAAAAATGAGAGTGAACAATTCTTAGTACTCTTCTTGGGAATATCTCTAATGTTTCTCCATTAAACTCTTCTCATAAAGATAGCTTATAGTTTCAAATAAACTCTTTGATTACTATACTTTTTAGTATTTTTAACTTAAATAGGTGTTACTTTTAATAAAACGCTTTTATACATCTATTGACATAATAATCTTTATGGTAGTTTATACTTATTCAATCAACCATTTATTAAACGCTTACTACAGGCTATATACTGGGATACAAATACAAATATTGAAACAATCCCCACTCTTAAGTAGCTTAGTTACATTCTAATGGGAAGAAAACATTCATTTATAAGTATACACAGGACAAATATATGCAATGCAATGTAGTTTGGGAGGAAGGACACTAGATGTTGGTGGTTGTGAGGATCAGGAAATGCTTCCCTTAGAGGGTGGTGCCTGTGCTGCCTTCAGAAAGAGGAATTCTATGTTACAGAAGTGAGGAGACAGTGAACTCCAGGTAAGAGGGCAGTGCAAAGGTATAGAGGTAAGTGTATCATGTGTGAGGGACAGAGAACAGATGGATCACTGCACAAGGGGAATATTATACAGTGAAGCTTGAAATACCCATTATTTTCCTAATTTTAAACCACCCCTACATTCCCTCCACTAACCCCACTTGATCAAAGTAGATTTTTGGGGAAAGGGCAATGTTTATTCATTTTTGAGTTAAAATATCCATATATTAATATTTTTGTGTTAATATCTTATACATTGATCTATACTTTTAGTTTTCTGCTTTAATACAGTCTTTCCATTTTGGAAAACAGTTCATGTAGGATAGGAATTCCTCGTTCTTTATGTGTTCATTTGGTGCATTTTATTTGGTACCTCCTTAACAGGCTGTTATAAACTTCTTATGAAATTGGTTTATTTTTATTATCTATTTCCAATTTTGTCAGTTGGGCTTTTTATGGAATAGGAGAAGGGCTTGAGCTTCAGACTTGTGACTACAGTGGTTTGGGAAATTTCTAGTGAGGAAACTCTCTGCCAATGCATATCAGTCATTCTCCAATTCTGTCTTCGATTTAGTCTTGGCCTCAGGCCAAAATGTTGAGTGACTTGTTTAGGATTATACAGTTAGAATCTGTGAGAGGAAGAATTTGAATCGAGGTACTCCTGACTCCCATGGCTGTTCACTTCACTTCTGTCCAACATCCTATGCTACTCAGCTATTTTATATTTTACAAGTATTTATCTATTTAGGTTAACAGTTTTGTTGACATATTAACTGAATAAAATTTTTGATAGGTTTATTTCTTTTGCATTCACTGTGATTTCTCCCAATTTCTGATTTTTTTCTCCTTCTTTGGAGTAGATTTGTCAATTCTTAACAGTCTCTTCAAAAATAGCTATAATAATTAGGGTCATAGATTTACAACTAAAATACCATAAGAGGCCATAAAGTCCAAACACCTTATTTCACAGATGAGGAAACTGAAGTACAGAGAGACTATGTGCCTGGCCCAGGGTCACTCAGCTAATAAACTGTAGCCTGAGTCTTCCTGACTCTTAAGTTCAGCAATTCAATTGTTCTTTTATTCTCTTATTGAATTATTTTAAAAATTCATTTCTTTATACCTGATTTTGGTGTATTAATTTGTTCACATTCTAACTTCTTTAACTTTAAACTGTCTTTTCTCCCATAAGCTTTTGTTGTTTTAAATATGTCTCTGCTTTTGCCCAGTCCCTTATATTTTGATATACTGCATCTGTAGTTACCTTTAAATTAAATATTTCCTATAACTTGGTTTTGAATCCAGGCATTAATGATAAAGTTATTCTTTTAATCTCCAGATAAGCCAACATTGGAAAAAAACCCTAACCCATGTTTTACTGTTGATTACTCATTTTATTACATTGTGATACATAAATGTATTTAAAATTCCTGCATTTCTGACCTTATCTATAACTTCTTTGTGATCTAAAGCATGATCACCTTGATAGTTCTGCTTCATTTTAGTATTGCTCTTGATGTTTTTGAGTAGGGATCCCAAAGATTCCTTGCAACTATATACCATTTTTCTTCTAGTTTCTCATTCCAAGTTTTAGAAGGTTTAACAAGTCCTCTCTATTGTGTTCCATAGCCCACAGAATGCAACATTTATGATGACAAATGATTAAGAGTCCCAAAACAATATACTACAAATGGGAACTAGAGCCAACTTGAGTCAAGACCATAATCAAATATTAAGATGATGGGTTTTAGAGCTACAAAGGACCTTAGGGTCATTTAGCTCATTCTCTTTATTTCAAAGAGGAGGAAATGGAAGCCTAAAGGAGGAAAATGACTTGCTGAAGGATACAAAGGTAGGAAAAGATCTGGGATTCAAATTTAAGTCCAAATCCGATGATTCATTTACCATGCCAAGCTGTAATTACAGAATTCCAGAAATGGAAATGACCTCAGATGACCTGGTCCAGCTCACAAGTAAGTAGAAATCCTTTCTATAATATCTCTAGTAAGTGATTATCCAGCCTCCAATTGAAAATCTCTATGTATGGGTACTAATGAACTGAAGGATGGGTAACTCATTACTTCCAGGGCTGCCCATACCACTTTAGAAGGTTTTCTTTGTATCAAGCTGAAATTTACCTCTGTAACTTTAAATCACTGGCCCCATTTCTGCCCTCTCATCCTTTCTAAAATATGGTGCTACAAACTCAACCCATTACTCCAGATGTAGTCTGATCATAATATAATCAGTCTATCACAATGTTAGACAACACATTAATAAATCTGAATAAAATCTTAAGACTTCTGTCTCAATAATATATGTTTACCAATTTCTAAGAACAAAAGCACAAATATCACACAAGATGAAATTGAAGGAAAGCCTCAATTAACCAGAAAACTTAGGGTCTGGTGTAACACTATTAAGTTAATTTTGTTAAACCAAAAAGGAACTCAACATTGTCTACAATGTACAAGGTACAAAAAGGATGCTTTTAAAAATCTATTTTAAAAGCTTTCTAAAACATACTCGTTCACTTTTGAGCCTTAATAAGAACATCATCTTTGATGATTTATGGTAGTAGACTCCCTCAGGCTCAAAATTTTGAAGAGCAATGATCATTGTATAGGTCAACACACATAGAAGTTATAAAGATTGAGCTGTATTCTAATGTCAGAACAAACCCTGGAAGACACTTTTTAGAGCAAATCCTGACATGTGCTTGTGATTGGTCTTTTTCTCCTAAAAGTCAAATGTGGTTAAAAAAAAACTGTGGGGCAATATTTTAACTAATCAAGGCTGAACAGTAATAATCAATTAATCCATGTATTTATTTAATAATGTATGTACAGAAATATTAATATATGGTCTTATACTAACTACCCTATCCTCAAGGAGCTAACACTCAATTTGGGAAAAAGAATCTATCATGCAGATAGTATAACAGAAAGCAACAAAAGTTGACACATAATTAAGTGCTACATTGTCTATTACAGGCTGTGACTGAGGTAGTTAGAAGTTAAATCAATGAGGGCTAAAATAGCTAGGGAAGGCTCTATAGAGAGGAATGAGGACATAACTTTGGCTCCCCACTTTTTCCTGTTATATTTCAAAGTACACTAATATGAACATAAAAAATAGCAGTACTAGAAAATGTGATGCATTCCATGCTGGATAAGACTATTATCATGCACCAGGGACAGGATAATTAAGAGGCCTGAGAAGATGAGCCTTTCTGGGGAAGAATGAGCAGAACCAAACATAAAGTGTAAATTGAACACCAGGCTAGGAACCTAAGCTTTTCAGGTACATCAAATCTTAGGACCTGAAGTAAGAAAAGAAGCCAGGAGCCAGAGTGAGGCTTTCATCATGAAGAGGTCCTTACAGGAATCAGGAGGCCCACTGTCAGACACATTAGTAATTACCTGATGTAACCTGATTCCTAAGGGTTCCCTACAGTTAAGTGGTCCTCTAATGTGGAGCTTTACTCTTCTTGCTGCATCAGTAAACCTAGGTACCCAACCTGAGGGTCTCTCTAGTTCAGTTTTCTTGGGAGTGTTTTGTGGGAGAATATGGAAATTGCTTTCTATGACCTGAAAAGTTGAGGATGTTTAGCATCCTTAGTTTTCTTTTATTAGGTGTTATGGATTAGAGAGGCAGCATACTGCAGTGCAAAGAACACTGAACTCTACCAATTAACTAAGAATCATGGGACCTGAGTTAGAATCCCAGCTCTGCTACTTGTTACCTATATGACCTTGGGGGAAGTCCCTGGGCTGCAGATTCCTCATATGTAAAATTAGATCATTAAACTAAATAACCTCTGAGCTCCCTTCAGGTTCTTTAACTATGATCCTGTGAATAACCCATGAGTTTGTCTAAACATTTCTTGAACCTATTAATATTTTTAGCTTGTAAAATTACATAACATACTTTTGTTTGAAAGCTACACAAAAGAATAATTTTATACACAAGCCTTAAATTTAATAGAAAACAAAAAAAAATACCAATTCCATCCATCTGTGAATAAGTTATCTCCACATTAATGGCATCAATATTCTAAAACACATTAACTCAAACTATTATGACTAAAGTAGAGGCAGGTAGGTTTGTATAACAGACTCATTGGCTTTTCACATCTAAGGTCAACTGCATTCTTTTCCTACCCCTGGATATGACATTGGACAGAGAAGCAAGGCAAATATAGTAATTTGACATCATTCTCCCAGTTACTATTTAACTCTTTCTACTGTTGAAGAAAATATAAAGGTAAATTAAATTGTACTAACCTATGACAACAGGATCAAAAACAAAGATATAGGTGAATATTTAAATTTAAGACAAGCTAATGAAGAGATTTAGATAATATCTATGAAAATCCTCTAATATGAAGCAATCTAAATTGGTTATCTCTTCATGAATAAATATTTTCAAATTCTACTTTGTCAACAAGAATCAACTGTTCAAAGTAGTGGCTCACAGCTTAAAGATACTACTTGGGAACCTACAAGAAAACATTCTGGATACACAATAATCTGTCCATGAACGATAAGAAGTTAATTAGTTTCCTGCTGGGGGAATGTTCTCATGTAGATACTGTAAGGCTAAGTCTGTCCACTTCATCTCTTGTTCTTTGACAGATTCCGTTGTGCCACCATTGTCTTGTTCTGGTTCGGGAAGTTCATTCTGAAAATGTAAAAGAAGAACTCAGAATGACATGTTCTAAAGGAGCAAACATTTCATTAAATAAAAGCCAGCAATTAACCCAATAATCAACAAACATTTATTAAGTGTCTACTGTATGGCAAGCACTGAGGACACAGAGAAAAAGTGAAAAAGTTCCTGCCCTCAAGGAACTTGAATTGTACAAGAAACAACATCTATGAGTATATATAAAGTAAACAACAGAAAGTAAAAACAAAGTAATTTCTGGGGTGAAGCACTAGCAGTTGGGGTGTCAGTTAAGACCTCATATAGAAAGTAAAGAAACACTTAAGAGAGTCATTACTGGATCATTTTACTTTTTTTGCTGCTTTAAGAGAAGTCCTTTTCTTTTTCTTGACACAGCATATATATGTCAAGAGTAAAATGCCGTGGTAGGAAAGAAAAATTCAGAATTTCCTAAATCAGTGTTATCTTTATAGTTTTAAAAGATAATTATGTGTTAAAGACTTTTTTGTCCAGTTAATGTCAGTGAAAATACTAATTTTGTGTTAAAGTCAAATGTACTTAAAGAAATTTTAAACACTACTGACTATCCCCTACTAAAACCCTCTTCTGATCCTGGGTTGTAAGAAGTTATGTTAATAAGTACACATTTTGACAAGTTCTACGAAGGTGGGAAGGCTCTGGTAACTAACACACAGTGTATTCTGTCAGGTAAGGCCTAGTACATTTAAGTTCAGATATGTTAATTACGAGAAAGTTGGACATCAAATGAGGAACATTTTTTTAGACTTAGTGACTCATGAAGACAGTTATAATATGGAGAAGTTGTGACTTACTTTGGTGGAGGGGGTGGAAGAATTCACACCTATGAAATGATGGATTTTGGGTGTACTACTAAGCTCTAATAAAGGCAGACAAGTTTAGCTTAAATAAAAGATTAACACCAACAACAGAAGTGTAAAACAAATCCATCTATAAATCATGGAGAGAAAATATCTGATTCATTGGTCCCAATCTGCTCTTGGTTGATTTCAATTGGCCTAAGGAAAGTGTTCTAAATTCTGGGTACATATGTGAAAGTTTATGAGATAGATACAGGTCCTTCTCCTACACAATGGATATTTTTGCCTTGTTTCAAGGGTTAAGCAGGAAATGTTATTGTGAAGTGTGGTTTTCTAACCTTTTCTTTTAGGTTCTCAGTCCCTTTCACCTTTTCTTCTCTCTTTGGCCCTTAACTCAACTTAATTAAGGTGTATCTCTTTGTTATTTATTGCAGTTAGTGAACAGTTTTATATTTTCTGTTCTTGATTTTTAGAAGTAGGTAACTTGAATGCTGAAGAGTTCTTTCGAAAACAGTTAAGGTTATTTTTTACTTGCATATTCCCCTTGACTATTTCCCCTTAACATCCTCCCACCTCTTAACAGAAAAATATTTTTCCACCTCTTTTTTAATTTCTTCTCCTGTTTCAGATAGGTTCTCATGATATATCTCAGGATCTATGCCAAGCCTTCATTAAAGTGAAAAATAACAGAATTAGAGTCTCTAAAAAGTTGGAAGCAATCTTAGAAGTTATTTAGTTTGACCCTGAAGTGTGAATTACTCCTACATCTTTACCAACTGGTTATCCAGACTCATCCTGTAAAGTGTGTTATGATCATTTGCTAAATCAGTTTTAACTCAGGGGGAAAAAAACCAAAAACATAGGACTAAGAATAAAAGTCTAGGGAAGTCTACTAGCACAGAAGTTTGTTAAGAAGCTTTTTCCAGAAACTTGGTGGTGTGGAGAGCAGAAGAGAGATCTCTCAGAAAATCCTAGAAAGGTCTAGCATCAAAGTATAGAGGTTTACAAAGAGAGTAACAAGGACAGAGGAAAGTAAGAGGAAAAAGAGAATATTATTTAGTTGTTCCAAGGTATGGTCTTGGTTCTTTTTTACTTTTCCCATTAATTTCAGTGGTTCTGACTCTTAATTATTCTTGATTTATCTCTAGCTATAGTACATTGAAAGAAGCACTAGAATGAGAGTCAGGAGACCTGTCACTAACTAGTTTTAAGATCTTAAACAATTTATTTAACCTCTCTATGCCTTGGCTGATTTGCTTTGAAAGGACTGGAAGAAATGATCTCTTACATCCACTCCCTCCTCTCTACTTTCACTGCCTCCAGCAGAGGCCCTCATTCTATGAACCTGGATCAGCAGTGTCAAACTCAAACAGAAACAGAGCTACTAAACTCTAAGAATCCCTGTAGCTCTATATTGATTAGAAAACCACACATTAACATTATTTTTGTTCTATTGCATTTTTACTTGTTTTAAAAATATTTCACAATTACATTTTAATCTGGTTCAGGCCCACCAGGGAAGTATGTTTGATAACTCTGGCAAAGTGCTCCCACTGAGTGTCATGTGCCCTCTGTTTTTGCACAATTTGTTACCATTTCTTTGTCTTTATACCTTGTCTGCCCCTTAACTCTTCTCTCATTTCCCCTAACAGCCAATGTGTTGCTCACAATGGTATACCCATTCCCTCATTCATAGCACATGTTACCTACCAGTGGTATTGCAACATCTTCATACGGCAACTTATCTTCTCTCCAAGCATCATCAATCAAATCCAGAATTCTTCCATCCCTTTGTACCTCACTGTCCATTCTTTCGTGATTTTGATTTTCTTAAACCTATGGCCCACAGGTTATAGTTCAGAAATCTGGTGGCTAGTGAATTAAAAAAAAAACACACACAACCAATTAATTTTCTGAATTAGTCCAAATATACTTTTAATTGCTTTGAATCTGTGAACATGGCCTGAGCTCAAAACAAACCTAAATAGATGACAGCAGGATGACAAGTTTTTGATTCTTATTTAAAAGGTTTTATTAGAATAAAGTAAAAAAAAGTTTATAGCCAGACCACTGAAACTATGGATTCTTCAAACTAAACTCTTTTTTTTAGTATTCATCTAAATTCTTGCATCCAACATTCTTTTTATTTTCATTTTCCTCAAGGTGCCTGCTGCCCTCTTTGTCATCTACTCATTCCTCTTATCAGAATACTTAAGTTATAAGTCACCTCTGATTAATCTGTTCTTTTTAATTGCCACATACATTGTAAGCTCCTTGAGGGTAAGGACTTCATTGATTTTCATTTCTGTAACCCTGTCTGGCAGAGTACCTCCAGCAGAAAGCAGTGAAAGAATGTTTGAATTGTAATCTTATGTGGCTACTAAACTCATATCCTGAAGCCTCAATTAGACCAGAAACTCATTTAGAGCAGAGGCTGTGACTTAAATAGTTTTGTCATCCCTGAAGAACTAGCACACAATAGGTGGCCAATCATTTGCAGATTCTGGCAGATTTTTACACACTTTCAGAAATTTACAAACCCTGCTGGATTAGCAGAGTGCATGGGCCATAATGCTTAATAAATCCATATGACTTTATGAATAGTTGTAAATACTATAAGAAATAAAATAACAGAATACACACACACACACGTTCATCTCACTGCCTAAGTTCCTTACGTGAGGAACCAATTTTAAGGACTGTCCCATCTCAGTCCTGACCTCTCTCTACCCTTCACCTTGACCAAATGTGCTGTGCCTTAGGTCTCGGCTAGTCTCCTTGGAAAAAGGTCCGATCAAAAATCTCACAGTACAGTGTTTAGAGAAGTCGAGTAGTTTGATGTACGGACCCTTCTGCAAGAAATCTGCAGCTAAAACTGAGGTCTCCCCGGGCTATGAACAGAAAGGGTAAAATAACCGCGGTCTCGGGCATCACCACAGGTCCGCAGATGCTATTAATCAGACCCTCCTGCCAGCGCTGACCTGTGCACCCACTCTGGGGGCCGGCCCCTACCTGAGCAGCAGGTAGTTCTCGCTTCTGAGCGTGGGACCAGCGGAGCCAGAAGAGAAAGGAGAGGGAGGGAACGACACTCTCCACGAGTCTCTTTCCCCTTAGGGGATAGGAGTGTGGAAGAAAAGAGCCGAGACTCTCGGAGGGTGACCACGGAAGGAAAGGGAAGGCACGACCTCACAGCAGCAGGAGGGAGGTACCCAAACAGGACACTTGCAAAGAATAGGGAGGAGGAAATGCGCATGCGGATGTTTCTAGTCTCGCGCTCGGTCCTCCCGCGATGCGCGAGCTTAGCCCAGACGCTCTTCCGCCTTCAACAGCTGCGCCTTTTGATTCTCCACTAGCCAATTCGCCGGGGTCACGTGATCCGTAAAACCCTTCCCTCCCTCCGTTTAGGCCCAGCGAATGAGAGTACTTGGCGGAGTCCACTCGATCTTATTAGGAAAGGGGGGAGGATGAGGTTGGTTCAATTCATGGACGGGGAAAATTTTTTTTATAAGGGGCGGAGGGAGGTGAGTTAGAGCGAGGAGGCGGCGCAGAAACATCGGCGGCGCGCGCGGCCGGGAGAGGTAACGGCGGGAGAACTAGAGAGGGGTGGGGGCGGACGCTGCGGCGGTGGCGCCCCTTGGCGGTCGCGGCGGCTGTGGACGCCGCGCTAGGCTGGGCTGCATGGAGTGCGTGGTCGCGGGGCTGGGGCCGCTGAACAGCCCCGACCCGCCGCTCCTTAGTCCGCAGGCGCGTGGTCACCGCTGCGACCTTTTTCCCGGCGTCCTCTTCTCCTCGCCCCGCGTCTCCCCGGCCGATGTGGGCACAGGCTGGACGATGGCTCCGCCGGGCGCGTCGCCCAGCCCCGTCGTCAGGTGCCCGCCTCCCATTCTCGGAACCGGGGGCGAGGGCTGGCGGCCGGGGCTCATTCGTTCACCCGCCTCGGGCCCTGGTTGAAGTGGGGTCCTTGACCTTACTTCCGGGGCTGAATTGGGGAGGAGGCGGCCGCGATCGGGGACCAGAGCGGTGGAAACCACGTGTCCCCGGCTGGGCGGCGGGAGATCCAAAGGGAGTCCGAGCATGCGCCTCGGGGCTAGCATGATTAGGCGGAGATCATCCTCCCCTTCCCTCTTCTCACGGTCTCCTCCTCCCCCCACCCCGGCTCACTAGAGGGTCGAGGCGGCGTAGTGGACCAAACGCTCAGGAGACCCACGGTGCAAGGTTCAATTCAGTTCAGACATGAAAGCACCTACTAAATGAGGGCACCGTCCCATGCGCTGGAGATACAAAGAAAGCTGGGCAAACCTCAGATTTCCGGAGCCTTCCATTCCGCAGGGTCTTCCCTTTGCGCCTGCTTAGACCTGTCACTGTGGGCAAGCCACTTTCTCATCCAAAATGGAGGCATTCATCTCTGATGATACATGGATATTTTGTATATATTTGCATGTTGTCTCCCCGTTAGATTGTAAGATCCTTGAGGGCTGGCACCATCTTTAGCCTCTTTTTGTATCCCTATAGCTCAGTGCCTGGGCACGTAGTAGGTGCTTAATAAATGTTGAACTGAGCAAGTCTTCTAACTTCATTGGGCTTCAGTTTTCTCATCTATAAAATGAGGGGGTGGGAGATGGGAATGGGTTAGACCAGTTAGCCTCAGAAGTTCTTTCTAGTTCCCTGAACTGATCCCATGATTCTGGCACCTCCAAGGTCCTTTCCAGTATGATTTGAGAAGTTTAGGAAAGGTGTCCCCTCTAATCAACAAGAGCGTATGTGGTGTTTAGGGAGGGTTAACACTCTTGGTATGAGGGCTTGCTGAGCCCTTTTCAGGGCTGTTCATCCACTTTTGGTGTCCACCTGTCACCCAAATCTCACCTTTGGCTCCAAGAAGCTATAGCATGCGCAATGGTCACAACCCACTAAACCACAAGCCCTTTAGTAAGTTTTAGGGAGGGGTATCTATGTGAAGGCTTCCCCAAGCAGTTCAGAACGTTTTTGTTCCAAGAGCCATGCAGGTGCTCTGGAGTGCCTAGAGGTTGGTCAGACATCAAAGAAGCCAAGGTCATCCACTGCATCCAGGGCCATCTTCAATCATACTGACTTTTGCCTTGCCCCTGGGATTCAATCATTCTGGAAGAGAGAGTGAGGCCAATTAGCTCTCTTTAAAAAGGAAGGAGGAACAACAACAGCATCTTGCCTTGTGGTGCTTGAAGGTCTTAACTCTTTCTATTCAGAGTCCTGGGAGACTTCAGTTAAAAGTGCAGATTTTTTGCTAAAGGGATAGTACATCAAGTTACTTGACCTCTCTATAAATACTTTATTGTGAGATTGTTGATCAGATCCTTTCCAAGGTCCTTTCTAACCCTAAATCCTAAGACCACCGGTATTTATCTAGACCAAGGGTGGTCTCAAGGCTGAAGGTTTCCCCACCCCTGGTCTAGACTTACCAGCCATCTCTTTTTACAGAGGAGCTTGAACCCTATGGCCCTTTCTCCAGAATTTCTTTAGAAAAACCTAGTCATTTTTTATAGCAACTTTTGCTAAATGCTTTTTAAAAAGATGACACCTCATCCAATGTTTTTTCAAGTTCTAGTGATGTTCTGGATATTTTCAGTTATATAAGAAATAGAGGTTCTTAACCGGAAGGATATCATGGTTAGATTTTGGAGAATCCAGGAACTTGAATAGGAAAAAAATTTTTTTTTAATTTTTTACTAAGCTATAATTGAAATTTAGCATTTCTGTTAATTACACATGTAGGTAATAAGCCACAGTAGCGTTAGTAGTCCTTGTGACTTTATCACCAATAGAAATCACAGATATTTTTATGCCATGTTATAATTATTGCAGATGCTTTGGAATATTATTTGTGCTCACCACTACATTACTATGGATTTCAGTGGCTTGTGGTCATCCTGTGTATGGGCACATGCATTCACATACGCTGGTGAACTATTGGGGTCCATAGGTTTCACCAGATTGCCAAAGGGATCCATGACACAAAAAAGTTTATTAACTCAGTTGCCTGAAATAACTTTCTTTGAATATAACTTTCCTTCCCCTTTCCCCCCATTGGCAAAAAGAAAATTTAGTGAAAATGCTTTTTTTTTCTTTATTAAAAGTGGTCTGTTAGAATAGGAACACCTGTATCTGTGTAGGACCTTGCGCACACTAATTTTAGATGTTAAATTACGGTTCCAAACAATCAAAATTTACCCAAATTAGTGTTGATGCTAAGTGCTCCGCAGAATTTGGGTTTGTCTTAATGTTATTTGAGAAAATATGATGACATAGATATTAAGTTGATACCAAATTGTTACATCTGCATGTATGAAAATGATAATAAATTAAGGCATTATGCTTTGTTAACTTGGATTGTAGTGACCTCATCAGGTCAATTTTGTTCCTGAATTCAAAAGGATTGCTTTTTCATTAATTATTTCTTTTGTTTCTTTAACCTCCTTACATTTTGCTCATTTTACTGTTTGCCATAGAGGCAGCTTGGCTAATGGATAAAATTTGAGACTTGGAAGCAAGAACATCTCTAGGTTTGAATCTCACCTCTGACACTAGCTGTGTAACTTCAAGCAACTCATTCACTTATTCTGAATATCAATTTCCTACTTGGTTATATGTGGTTGATATTTGTAGATTATAACTAATACCTAATTTCTGTAATACATAAATAAGCCTGATTCAGGAAGCAGCTTGTAGTCAGATAGGAATTTAAGTTCTACTTCACACTAGTTGTGTGATCTTGGGTTTTAGAGTTTGTGTTGTACCCTGTGCAAAGAATTCTTACCTTTATATAGCTCTTATGAAAAGAGAAAGTATCACATGGTGGTTATTTAGATGTATTCTTCTTCCTTGCCTGCCTTGATGTTTGGAATACACTCTATCCTTTTCTTTGCCACACAGAATGCTTAGCTTCCTTCAAAGCACAGCTTAGGTGCCGTATAATAAACTAGGCCATTCTTATATAAGTTGTTCAGCCATTCCCCAGTTCATGGACACTCCCTGAGATTTCCATTCTTTGCCACCTCAAAAAGAACTAGAAATATTTTTGTACATCCTTAGAGTTTATTTTCCTTTATTTCCCTCCTAATTCTTCCCTACTCCTTTTCCCTCAAGTATTCCCATTGACTAAAATGTATTTCTTTGTTCAATGTTTGTGTATTCTTTTTTCCTTTTGTATATTAAGTTTATTAGTAATTCTAAGTGTTTTTATAATTAAATATAAGTGAATTTAGAATTAGAATTAGAAGAATTCTATAGAATTAGAAAAGTTCTATAGTATCTGTCCATAAAAGACTAGTTATATACTATACAAACTGTGCAAATCATACAAAGCCAGTTTTTAGTGCCTGTTCAACTGAGAAGAATCCTATTCAGCACAGTTCTCCTGACGTGGTTCTACTGAGCAAGCTTTGATTTCAGCTTTTGGTTTTCTTCAACTACAGCTTCATATTTCTTTCACCTCTGCCAATTCTAAGCAAAGCAATTCTTTTTGAATATTCTGGAGTCACAGCTCCTAAGTGATGCTTTAGGAAATCCAGTGCACTATTGGGTTTTTCTGGTTCTTCATACAAGGCCACCAATACTTTGGTGAGTGTGCTCAGCACTCTCAGCTTCTAAGTACTTCTGGAATTGCTCCCACTTTGAGTTGATGGCTTTGTAATGGGCCCTAGTGGCAGTAGCCCATACTCCTTCTTTTCTATGACTAGTTCAAAGAGTAAGGTTCGGTTGTAAGCTATTCACTCTATTCCTTCCTTTCGTAGGTGTCTATTTGCATACCCTGATTATGTGAAATAATTTCCTCAATCTTCCTTTCCTTTCTCTTCCTGCTTTGCTCCCAGTACATTTCTCTGTCTTGCTTTCCATTCTTAAGATCATTAAGACATAAGAGACCCCACCCCCCTCCTTGGCCTTGTCTAATTAGACTCCATTACCTGATGATAATAGGGTTTATAGGGGACACATGTGTCACCTCATATTTGAATGTAAGCAGTTTATCTTTATTTAGTCCCTTATGATTGTTCATTTGGATTTACCTCTTAATGTTTCTCTTAGCTCTTGTGTTTGAACTTTGTGGTTTTTACTCAGCTCTGGTCTTTTCAGGAGTGCTTGGAAGTCCTGTATTTAATTAAAGGTTCATTCCTCCCCCTCCCCCACCACTACTCAGTTTTGCTGGGAAAGTTATTCTTGGCAATAAACCTTTGCTTTCTGGAATAA